CAGTCCGCCCCTGCTCCCAATGTTTACTTTCCTACATTCCTAAGACATGGGCTACAACAAAGTGGTTTCTGATCCTTTTTCTTTGAGGACAACTAAATTGAGCATCTCTTTACTAGTCATCAAAGAAGGAGGCTAGGTGGCCATTTAGTTGTTGTCCATGTCCTGGAATTAAGACAGAATTTTGGAAACTAAACATTGGGAGTATTTTGGTCAGGCTTCATAGGCGACCGAAAAGGCCTATAAGTATTTCATGTGCATTAAAATATATTTTTACAAATGGAAAGGGACTACAGCAGTGCAAGAATCCTGGTGGGAATGTGCCACTGGAGAGTTTTGCATACATCCCAAACGTCCTGAATCCCGTGGGACCTTCCCAAGATTTGAACTAAATCCTGGCATGTTTGAATACAGTGTTCCTGCATTTTGTGCAACAACTACATCAGTATTCAGTAGAGATATATTCTTCAACCAGTATATGGCAGTGTTTATAGGTTTGTAGCTGCATCTATGGTTGTACTCTATGTTTTTTCTCTGAATAAAGTTTCCTGTTTCCTTGTTGCAGTGGAGCAGAAAAACCCATGTGGACTGTACACTGTCTATCTTGCAGGGCTATACACTACACATAATTTCCAACATGGCATCCTGCGGATCCTGAATAGGTTCCGGCACTGGGCTCCATCAATGAACTTTGCAGGGGTGTGCTAACGCCGAATGCTAATGCATTCCCATGTAGGCAGTCCCATTAATGTCAGCACAGACACGCCATTCCGCAACGTTACGGCAGAAAAAAAAGCCACGAGTGTACCTAAAAAGTCCCCAGACAAGACAAAAAAGGTTCATTTGTTTAATCAATCAGTTCTTGCATATCAATTTTTCACATTCTCTGTCACGGTGGAAGGGATGGCAGGTGTGTCTCCTTAAAAGGAAGGGAGTTCGACTTCTGAAACGCGTTAGCTTATTTCACCATAGGACCCCCGCTATCTGGGACCGTCATCTTTGGCTCCTTGTTTCTGTTTTTATAATCTTATGGTTTGTGAATATGCATTTGTGATTTTTATAATAAATTCCCATTGATCACAGTAATGCACGGGGAGAGCGCGCCCTGTTTTATTTCTTTTTTGCTAGCATCAAGATTCCCCAGTCTATTGAGGGCAGCACCTCAGTGAGTGACAGATTCTGTGTTTTCTGTGCAGCATGAAGATCTGAGCGCTGGTTTTGGTATATGTAGGTGTGTCTCCTATGCCTACATACTTTCTGCTATAACATTAGGTTTCTGTTTCCATTCCAGAAAACTGTGAAGTATGTAGAAAGAATCACACTTGTACTGACCTTCTAAGGCAGGGTTAGGCAACCTTGACACTCCAGCTGTGCTAAAACTACAAATCCATCATGCCTCTCAGTCATGCTTGTGTCTTTCAGTCTTGCAATGGCTCTTGGGACTTAGAATGCCGAGGCTGCTATAAGGGCTCACCAGAGGCATCCCTAGGGTTGGTGTCACCCGGTGCGGTAACACTTGGTGACACCCCCTCCAACGATCCCCGCAGAATGGATCAGACTCTGATCCATTATGCTCAATCCGCAGATCCGATCCATCCTGCGGGGATCGTCGGCTTTCTTTACAACTTACCTTTTCTTGAAGCGGGTCCGGGACAACTGCGCATGTCCTGGTTTCAGGCATGATCCATCGATGATAGCAGTAGTTCTATCATCGATTCATCGTGCCTGAAACCGGGACATGCGCAGTTGCTTCAGGGGGACATATCTACATGGGAGACACATCTTGCCAATACACCGGTGTCACCCCACAGGATCGTCCGCATGCAACCTATACGGGGTGACCCCGGGCCCACTACAAGAAAAGGTAAGTTGTAAAGCAAGCTGACAATCCCCGCAGGATGGATCGGATCCATCTTGTGGGGATCGTCGGCTTGCTTTACAACTTTCCTTTTTGTGGAGCGGGTCAGGTGTCACCCGGTGCCGTCGGTGTCACCCGCTGCGGACCACACCCCCCGCACCTGCCTCGGGACACCACTGGGGCTCACACCAGTGGCTGTTATTGTCACTATCACAGATCACTTTTCAGAGGGCACTTGACTGGTGATAAGTTGCCTACGCACTGCCTGTTTTAACCTTCAAAATTCCAACCGACCCCAGGATCCACTTGAATGGATCATGTTCGGTACCACTCGCCAATGTGATAGCAATACATATATATATATATATATATATATATATATATATATATATATATATAATAAAAAAACGCAGCACAAATAATTATATTACATAAAACAGTACAAATTTTAAATAAAAGGTCAAACAGTCCCAAATAATGTCTTGTGCTCCAAAAAGAGAAAACGTGATAGAAAAAGGTATATATTTTCCAGCGTGCTCAAATCATCTGTGATATTCAATTTCACCCACACTCACCAAATGAAGTGGACTCCTAAGCTGATATGGCTTAAGAATCAAACAGGCTTAGAGGTTGGGCAAGTACACAGGGGCCCCATGATCCCCTATTGCCCGGGGGCCCCATGAGTTGTCAGTCCGCCCCTGATCTCACTTTGCAAACCTTCACTGGATAACCTCCCAAACTGATATTGAATAAAAATGTAACCAGGTTAAATGGACATAAAAACTTCTCAGGCAGCTACCGATGATCCCTCCTTGGTGACCTCCGAATGCTCGCTAATGGATGGATGGCATGCAAAAAAACAGGAAAACCAATAGCGTGATACTGTATATATCTTTTAATATGAAAAACGATGCCCAAAATGCACTCACATTCTCAGAATAAAAAACAAGCCTTTTAATTGATAAAACCTCCTTAGGCAGACAAAAGATCTCGTCTGGTACTTCACAAGTATTGCTGTACAATCACAGCAGCATAGGAAAAAATTAAGTGGCAGCAGTATGGAGATAAGCGATCCTCCCCACAAAAAAGATGGCCACGAAACGCCGCACCAGCGTGCGTTCCACTCTCCGGATGTGATGCCACGAGTCATATGTTGGATCCTGAAATTGCGTCAACGCGTTTCGACCCTCCAAGGCGTCGTCACAGACCAAGATCTCCGGTTCCTAATCCTAGATATACTTCCCCATCACTCCTCCTTCTAATATGATTTGCTAATTCCTAATGGGCAGCATTCCTCTTATCACTCTTATTGGAGCACAAGACTTTATTTGGGACTTTTGGACCTTTTTTTTTCAATTTGTACTGTTTTATGTAATATAATTATTTGCGCTGCGTTTTTATTAGTATTTTGATGTTCTTTTCATCTTTGAGCAGCAACATTTATTGCTTGAGCTTTCCATATTTATTTTTTTTTGGTGCAGATTTTATTTCATATCTATATATATATATATATGTATGTTGTGGTTTTGAAGTGGTATAATGGGGTTATGGCTGATGCTATCAGCCAAAAACCTAGTATTTTTTTTTTTACCAGCCATTTCCCTTTCACATAAAAGTGATCCGAGTGGCTGATTATCTCCTGGATCACTTTTAGAAGCAGCGGAAGGGGATGCCTGCCACCCGCCGCTGTTTCCCGGGCTTACCGTTCTCACCAGTGAGCCAGGGATTCGATCTGGTGGTAGCGGCGGCTGGACACAGAGGAAAGAAAAGACCAAATCATCTTTCCTCACCTCTGTGATCTAGGAGAACCGGAGCTATGCTGTGATGTCACTTCTGGTCTGCATAAGACAATCATTTTTTTTTTTCATCTTATGCTTTTCAAGGTAGACGAGTCATTTAGGGTCTTAGACCCCAGATGTCTCCATAAAGATGACCTATCATCCCTTATTCCTATCACAAAGTATGTTTAAAAATGTTAAAGTACTCCCATCCCTTCATGCTCGTGCACATGCGCAGAAGTGACCGCATATGTAGGTCACGCGTGCATATGTAAACAGTGTTCGCACAACACATGTGAGGTATTGCCGTGAGCATTGTAGCGAGAGCAATAATTCTAGTAGTAATTCTCCTCTGTTACGCTAACCTGGCAACCTTTAAGAATTTTTAAAGCATCGCCTATGGAGATTTTTAAGTATCACTGTTTGTCACCATTCCACGAGAGTAATCAATTTTAAAGTATGACATGTTAGGTATCTACTGTATATACTCCGCGTAATATCATCTTTCATATTTACCAAAAATTGGGTTATATATTGTGTTTTTTTAAAATTTCATTAAAGTGTGTTTATTCCAAACAAATTGCGCTTGAAAAACCACTGTGCAAATACCATGTCACATGAAAAATGATGTTATTTATTAAGTAGGGTCTCTGCTAAAAAATATATATACAGGTTAATGTTTGGGGGATTCTAAGTAATTTTCTACCAAAAAATACAGATTTTTAAATGTAAAGAAAAAGGGTCAGAATAGGCTTTGTCTTCAAGTGGTTATAGAAGAACTAAACCCTCCTATCATTTTCAGCCAAGGAAGCTGCCAATGTAGCCTCTGTTTGATCTGCAACTGCCAGTTATGACACCAGGTGGTGTGACAGTTTGGTTGAGAGCACAAGCAAATGTGACAGAGAACATTCTCGGCAGGCCTGGTATGTACCTGTTTTTTGAAACCATTATATTGATGGGTTTAGTTCTTCTTCAATTTTTGTGTGCAATGTGTACAGCCCTGAATGGTTGCATTTCTGTGTTTAGGTGGTCATTGGGAGGGAGGTAAAATGGTGTCTCAACCACCTGCTTTTACCAGTCCATGGCTGCCTATGTGAACAAGCCATATGATAGATTTAGCCGAGCAACTTTCGTGCTATGTATACATTCACATTTTGCTGTCTTGGGTAATATCATCTCTTTAAACGCTTTCCCACTGCCCTATAGCAGATATACTGTTACAGGGTGGCATATATATGTATATATATACATATATGTGATTTTGCATTTCCGGGTAGGGGGAGCACGCGATCTGCGTACATGCTATACCCATGCCACTATTCGTGGCCTTGGCTGTCAATCACTGGGCCCCGGTGATTAATCGCCGGCACCCGGTGATCGAGGAGCATTACCACTGTAAGGAGAGAACTGTATGTAAACAATACAGTTCTCTCCTCTGTCAGCTCCTGCACACTGCTTTGCATGGCTCTGCATAGCACAGCTATACAAAGTGTGCTTACAGTGGAAAACATACTGCTACAGGCTGGCACGGTGCGCAAAATCACGTATATATGCGTGAGTTTGCATTTCCGGGTAGGGGGCACATGCAAGACGCGTGCGCACCCTACTTACGCCACCATTCGCGGCCGCTGCTGTCAATAACCTGGTCCCAGCCGGTGATTACTCACCGGCGCCCGGTGATTTCCGAAGTTCTCCAACAGGAGGGAGAACTGTTAGTAAACAAAACAGTTCTCCTGCCTGTCAGCTCATATAAAGCAGTGTGCTTATGGTGAAGCACTTACACACCGACCATAGTAAACAGCACACAGTTAACCCTTTGATCGACCCACATGTTAACCCCTTCCTGCCCAGTGCCATTAGTACATTGTCAGTGCATTTTATTAGTACTAATCACTGTATTGGTGTCACTAGGGATGTCAGTGACGCCAAGTCAGTTCCCCCCAGTCTCAGAATGTCCGCCGCAGTCCTGAAGTCCTGATATAAGTCGCTGATCGCCACCATTACTAGTAAAAAAAAAAAAAAAATCCCAGTATATATACAACCATTTGTAGGCGCTATAACTTTCACGTAAACCAATTAATTTACACGTATTGGGATTTTTTTTTTTTTAGCAAAGACAATACATTTTGGCTTACATTTATGATGGAATTTGATTTTTAAAATTTTTTTTACTAGACATGTTTAATAGCAAAAAGTCAAAAATATTGTTTTTTTCTAAAAATTGTCGGTCTTTTTTTTTTTCAGCACAAAAAAATAAAAAACCGCACAGGCGATCAACTACCAACAAAAGAAAGTTCTATTTGTGGGAACAAAAAGGACCGCAAAAAAAGGGCCTGGTGAGGAAGGGGGGTAAATCCTCAGGAGGGCAAGTGGTTAAAACACACAAGTTATAATTGTGCTATTATCTGACACTGAGTACCATACAGACCTTTACCAATCCATAATCACTGTTTAATAAGTATACTAAACTTTTAGCTCACGGGCCTCTCAACTGTGATTGCCAGATCTGGGCTGTTATTAGATTTATAATGGTGTCACCCTCAAGAATGACTATATTTTGTTTTTTGCTGTCAATATTAATCTGCATGATAACATAGTTTATTGTCCCCATGTCTTGAAACAGACTCCCACACTAAATACTTTACTTCTGTCTCCTGTTTTATGTCATCCCTAATTCTAAAATGACTATGATGTTGAAGTATTGCCGGCTTCCCACAGTCCTCCACTCCTGATTGATGGGTGGCTTGCTCTTCCTGACAGGGCCTTTCAATGATGGAATAATATTCCTACGCCGCCATCAATTTTATGAGTATTGCTTTACATCCCGCACCAAATACATTTTAGAGAAATGATAAAGCCATTTGTCAGCCATATTAATTCCTCCGCCCGGGCCTAGAAGGAGTGGAATACATTAGTAAGGATTTTATTATTAATTTTATTGACAACGTTTAGACGATCCATCTCCGTGCCAGGCTTTGCTCTTGGAGATTGATTTATTTAGAAATAAATTTGGGTCCTTCACGCTGGTCTAGCAGTTTTAACATGAATGCAAAATTCCTTTTTAAGTGAAGCGAGTGTGGAGAAGTACGAAGTACTGGTGTGCAGAACATGAGTGGAATTGAAAGCGATATTTAAGGCCTGGCGAGATGGAATGGAGCCTGTGGGGTGACCTGAGTTTAGAAGGAGAATAAAACAAATGCAGGGTACTTCATGACTAGATGGAGCTGTCAGGGAGAAATATATTCCACTCAGGAGCTTCTCTCTCATGAATTCTAAATAGAGCCGCTTCCCCAACATATTTATTGTGATGGTATATTTTCATACAGGCCGTAATGAACAAAAATATGTAATCTGAATAAAAACTTCACCCAAAGCTGCACGTTTGTGTCTGTGTCTTTGAATACCAAATGCTTAACATCTCACATTAACACGTCAAGTCATTATTTATATAACTGCAGATTTTTTTTCTAAAGGGTTTGCAAAGCCAAAAGTTTTCTTGTTCGTTTTGGATCGATTTCCTATCACTTGGCCTAATTTCATGAAGAAAGAGAGATGCAATAGGAAGTGAGAGGAAATCTCCCTAAAGTGAGGGGAATTGCTTAGAGATTTGCAATGGGAACTGGTGTCTTATTGCTGGGAGAATAGATTGTAAGCTCTAACAAGCAGGTCCCTCTGTTTCCTCTTGTACCAAATTGTATTGTAACTGTAATATTTACCTTCATTTTGTAAAGTGCTGCGCAAACTGTTGGTGCTATATAAATCCTGTATAATAATAATAGGTGCAGGTACTCCCCCCTTCCAAGTCACCACTTGTCTCTCCCCCTTACCCACCTCTGAGTACTGTCCCTTGGTTCCACAAATAGAGCTTTCTTTCGGTGGTATTTGATTGCCTGTGCATTTTTATTTTTTGCGTTATAAAAAAAAAAGAGGATTTACCCCCTTTCCTGACCAGGCCATTTTTTGCGTTACGGCACAGCGTTATTTTAACTGACAATTGTGCGGTCGTGCAACGCTGCATCCAAATGAAATTTACGTCCTTTTTTTTTACCACAAATAGAGCTTTCTTTCGGTGGTATTTGATCTCCTGTGCATTTTTATTTTTTGTGTTCTAAAAAAAAAATACTGACAATTTTGAGAAAAAAAAAAACCAATATCTTTGACCTTTTTGCTCTTAACTAGTTGCCGACTGCAGATAGCCGAATGACGGCTTCACTGCGGCTGGCCAGTTCTGGGTGGACGTCATGTGACGTCCCCCCAGAACACGCTCTCCTGCGCGCCCCAGGGGGCGCGCACCCGGCGATCTCCGTGATCGCTGTGTCCTACGGACACAGCTGATCACGAGATGTGGTAAAAGGCCGATCATACCGGGCTTTTACCACATGATCAGCGGTGTCCAATGACACGCTGATCACAGGGAAATGCAAGTGCCGGTTCTCGGCTGCACTTTCCTCACGCTGTCAGATCGTGAGGAAAGTACTGCCGAGAACCGGCAGTTGTCAGAGCGGGGATCGGCACCGATCATCAGGGCCACTGATGATCAGTGCCCTGATGATCGGTGCCCAGCAGTGCCACCCAAAAGTTCCCGCCCAGCAGTGCACCCACTAGCTCCGCCCACCTGTGCCCAGCAGTGCACCCACCTGTGCCCAGCAGTGCACCCACCTGTGCCACTCTGCAGTGTCACACACCTGTGCCCAGAAGTGCCACCTACCTGTGCCCAGCAGTGCCACCCACCTGTGCCCACCAGTGCCACCCACCTGTGCCCACCAGTGCCACCCACCTGTGCCCACCCACCAGTGCTGCCCACCAGTGCCACCCACCAGTGCAGCCCAGCAGTGCTGCCAGTCAGTGCCCAGCGGTTGTGCCAGTCAGTGTCGCCAGTCAGTGCCCAGCAGTGATGCCAGTCAGTGCCATCTATCAGTACCCATCATCAGTGTCACCTATCAGTGCCGCCTATCAGTGCTGCATATTAGTGCCGCCTATCCGTGACACCTCATTAGTGCTGCCTATCAGTGCCGCCTATCCGTGCCACCTCATTAGTACTGCCTATCAGTGCCCTTTAGTGCTGCCTATCAGTGCCCATCAGTGCCGCCTATCAGTGCCCATCAGTGCTGCCTCATCAACGCACATCAGTGAAGGAGAAAAAATACCTGTTTGAAAAATTTTATAATAGAAACAAAGAAACTTTTTTTTTTTCAAATTTTTTGCACTTTTTTAATTTATAGCGCAAAAAGTAAAGTGCCCAGTGGCGATTAAATACCACCAAAAGAAAGCTCTATTTGTGAGAAAAAAATGATCAAAATTTCATATGGGTACAATGTTGCATGACCGCGCAATTGTCAATCAAAGTGCGGCAGCGCTGAAAGCTGAAATTGGCCTGGTAAGGAAGGGGGTATAAGTGCCTGGTAGGGAAGTGGTTAAAACATGTCCAGTAAAAAAAATTTAAAAAAATCAAATTTCATCATAAATTTAGGTCAAAATGTATTCTGCTACATGTCTTTGCTAAAACAAAAATTCCAATAAGTGTAAATTAATTGGTTTACGTGAAAGTTATAGCATTTACAAATGGCAGTATAGATACTGGGTTTTTTTTTTTTTTTAATTTTTACTAGTAATGGCAACGATCAGTGACTTATAGCAGGGCTGCGGCTGGCATTCTGACACTGGGGGGGAACTGACTTGGTGTCACTGACATTCCCAGTGACACCAATACAATGATCAGTGCACTGACACTGTACTAATGGCACTGGGCAGGAAGCGGTTAATATGAGGGGAGATCAAAGGGTTAACTGTGTGCTGTTTTATAGTAAGCTGTGTGTGCGCTTTCAACTGTAAGCACACTGTAAGCACACTGCTTTGCATGGCTCTGCTATGCAGAGTCCATGCAAAGCAGTGTGCAGGAGCTGACAGGGGAGAGAACTGTATTGTTTTCTCTCCCTCCATCAGTAATGTTGCTTGATCATTGAGTGCCAGCAAGTAATCACGGAACCCGGTGATTGACAGCCGAGGCCGCAAATAGCGGAAATGCAAAATCACGTATATATACTTGTCCACGCACTTCCTCCTATGAGCTGACAACACTCTTTTTCTGTCTTCAAATTGTGCTTTTAAGTATTGCATGTGTTTGCATGACTCCAGTTTTATGTTACCATGCCTCTCTAATACCCTTCCACTGCTAGCACAGTCTGGACACACAACTGTCATCATTTATTGTTAAACATCTCCTTTCTATGGGGGGTGTTAAAAACAAATGACACATGTAAAAAGATAAAAATAAAACAAGCACTAGGTAAAATAAGCTGCTAGCATAAAGGTGAACCTCAAACCCTTTCAGTAAATACCGTATGTAATGTAGATTGCAGCTCTAAGGAGGTAATACACTGATAGATAAATATACTGTATATATACTGTAACACATAGAAAGCAGTAAATGTGCTATGGAGCGCTAAAATTAGTGGTGGTGATAATGTCCAAATATGACGTGTATAATACAGTATAAAGTTCAATTGTGATAAATAAATGTAAATATATAAAGTCCAAATATGATAAAACAAATCAATAAAAATGAATTCCATGACTCGGGTGACTGGAAGCTTATGTATATTGCACTAACCAGAAGCGCAATAAAATTGCACATTTGAGTATAATGAACCACTCCTGGTCATCTGGATTTGAATGGATATCTTAGAGGATCATGTGGCACACATCAGCACATCAGGTGATCAGCAGACTTCACTCTCCAGTTCCAGGGACATCACATCCGATAATAAGGACCAGTCATGGGCAGATAGTAATAATAGCAGGAATCCACCTTAGGGGCTTGTTAAAAAACGAGCCAGAAAAGAATCTCTGATAGTGCAGTATTTATTGAAAGCAATGGCAAAATAGTAGACAAATATATGCACTCACATGTGGCATAAAAACAACTTCAAAGATGGCTGCCGGCCTTCCTCGTGGCCTCTGCAGAGTGACGTCACTAGCTGGGCTCCTCTCTAACGTGTTTCGTGCTCGTGCACGTGTTCAAACGTCACACCGTCAAAACGTCATGCCGCACAGGCCATGAGAAAGGCCGGTGGCCATCTTTGAAGTGATTGCATTTACACGACATATTTGGACGTTATCACCACCACTAATTTTAGAGCTCCATAGCGCATTTACTGCTTTATATGTGTTACATATATATATATTTATCTATCAGTGTATTACCTCCTTGGCGCTGCATTCTAAATGACAAATGCGGTTGACTGGAGTGCAGCATGGCTCTCCCCGTGTGTGGGTCAGGGGGCCCAACTTGCACATAGACCCATTGCATTCAGAAAATACCCCTGACCTTTGACCCTGAACTTGACCCCAACCAAGCTATTTTATTTTACTTTAATTGATTTTACATAGGCCTTTTTTATTTGTTTACATTATTCTTCTCTAGCATGGAGAAAAAGATATGATGTCTCTATGTCCATGAGGCCTATGGAGTACCTGAAACTAGTACAGAGATGAATTGCTCAGTGACCATCACGTATGGCAGATTTTGCCGATTGTTGTTGGTTACCAGCCAAGATATTTTCAAAGTGCTATGATCTTGTTAACCACGTGACCTCCTTCATGATCAGGGCATTTTTTGCTATTCAGCACTGTGCTGTTTTAACTGGCAATTGCTTGGTCATGCAATGCTGTACCCAAATTAAATTTATAGAATTTTGTTTCACAAAAATAGAGATTTCTTTTGGTAGTATTTGCTTACCACTGGGTTTTTTTATATTTTATTATATAAACGAAAAAAACCCTGAAAATTTTGAAAAAAAAAACCCTAGTATTTTCTACTTTCTGTTATAAAACATATCCGAAAAAATAAAATTTCTTCATGAAATTAGGCCAAATTGTATTCTGCTACATATCTTTGGTAAAAAAATCCCAATAAGTGCATATTAATTGGTTTGTGTGAAAGTTATAGCGTTCACAAACTATAGTATGTATACTGGAATTTTCACAGCTTTTAAGCAGCTCTGACCTTTTGACTGCCTATCACATTTTTTGAGGTGTTAAAATGCCAGGACAGTACAAGCACCCCCAAGTGACCCCATTTTGGAAAGTAGACACCCCAAGGTATTTGCTGAGAGGCATGTTGAGCCCATGGAAGCTTTTATTTTTTGCCACATATTTTTAGAAAATGATGAAAAAAAAAAAGTTCTTGTCACTTTAGATATTTCTCACACATGCCATGGATATATGTCACCATTGCATTGTCACTAGTGTCATTACTACACTGTACAGAATGTATTCACTGATCACTGTATTAGTGTCACTAGCAATGTCAGATAGCATCAGAGTCAGTTAGCTTCCCTCCAAGCCAGTGTCAGTTAGCCCCATACTGCCCACCACACTATCGCAGTTACACTGTAAGTTACTGATTACTGATATAGTGCCTGAACAGATCGGTATCCTGGTCACCATCAGAACTATACTTGTGTCCCCAATAGTATAGCATCCCCAAAAACACAGTGTTAGCATAATCAGCTGTGATCATTGCCAGCACTTGCATTTAACCCCCGCCCCACTAATGCAGTTTCAATATAATTTTTTAAATCACAACCACCTCTGATACATTTTCCACAAGATCATGCCTGATTCCCCTTGTAAGCCTGAAGGTGCTCACTGGATTTTAGGGGCCTGTACATGGCTAGGCTGCCAAAAAGTCTCTCACATGTGGTATTATCATACTCTGGAGAAGTAGCAGAATGTGTTTTGGAGAGTATTTCTACAGATGCTCAATAGGGTTTAGGTCTGGAGACATGCTTGGTCAGTCCATCACCTTTACCCTCAGCTTCTTTAGCAAGGCAGTGGTTGTCTTGGAGGCATGTTTGGGGTCGTTATCATGTTGGAATACTGCCCTGCGGCCCAGTCTCCGAAGGGAGGGGATCATGCTCTGCTTCAGTATGTCACAGTACATATTGGCATTCATGGTTCCCTCAATGAAATGTAGCTCCCTAGCCTAGGCCCTCAACCCTATTGAGCATCTGTGGGGCATCCTTAAACAGAAGGTGGAGGAGCGCAAGGTCTGTAACATCCACCAGCTCTGTGATGTTGTCATGGAGGAGTGGAAGAGGACTCCAGTGGCAACCTGTGAACTGGCAACCTGTGAAGCTCTAGTGGAACTCCATGCCCAAGAGGGTTAAGGCAGTGTTGGAAAATAATGGTGGCCACACAAAATATTGACACTTAGGGCCGAATTTGAAAAGTGTACTCACTTTTATTGCCAGCGGTTTAGACATTGATGGCTGTATGTTGAGTTATTTTGAGGGGACAGCAAATTTACACTGGATACAAACTCTACACTACTTTATTGTAGCAGAGTGTCATTTCTTCAGTGTTGTCACATGAATAGATATAATAAAATATTTACAAAAATGTGAGGGGTGTACTCACTTCTGGGAGATACTGTAAGATCATGGCTTGGGCCAGGAAAAGAGTGGGGATGGGCTGCGCAGTGATGCTAGGGTAAGCATGGTAAAAGCTTGTCTCAGCTGTGGCATGCACATCAGGGGGGAGAGGGCACAGTTTGTCATCCTCACCCTGGACAATGAAAGACCTTAGCCTGGAACTATTTACATATATGTGGACAACCCTCCAAAGTATTAGGTTCAGGTGTTCAGGGTACTGATAATGCCACAGACAAGTATAGTTTCCAACATTGTGAGAGTA